TTAATAACTCAACACACTAAAATCACGAATTGTGCTTTAATTTAGTTTGGGCAGCACTCAGGAGTATTGTGGGATGTGTTTGACATCTCTGCTTTAGGGCACTGCCACTGAGTGAAGACTAGAACCCGGGCATCTTGGGTGGAGGAGAACAGGTGGATTTCACATCAGAGAGCCTAGATTTAAATCCCAACTCTGTTATTCAGATGGATGATCTCTGCCAAGTCACACCTTCTCTGGACTTCAGTTTCCTCCCCTGCCAAGGGAACCGGTGAGGCTGAAGTCCTTTGAGCTTTAAATCTGTGATCCTGATTCTTAATTTGCTACTATTTCCACTTACTAACTGAGTGAAAGCTGTCCTCAAATATTTTCCTGTGTTGTGCTAGAACAGGGGCATCAGACACACAGCCTGCATGAAGCCCACAACACTCCCCCTGAATGTGGCTAGAACTTAATGGGTTGTTTAACAAACTGAAGATACAATAGAATATAGATAATGTTAATTTGTGGTTTTCTAAGTCAGTGTGGCCCTCAAGATGGTTTAGTGGCCCCTTTCTATTTGAGTTTGACATCTGCTCTAGAAGGAAGAAATATAGTCATAAAATGTTAAATTTCATAGCTGGAAGGGGGCAATAGAGATTGCTCAACCATTCATTTGAATATAATAATACTGTGTGCTAGTCATTGTGCTAGATGTTAGAGATACAAAGTCACAAATGAAACAAAGAAGCTTACATTCTATTGGGAGAGACTACATGAGCACATGTAACTATTTGCAAAATATATGAAAAGCAAATATAAGGAATAAATATTCCTTAAGTACCTACTATGTGCCAGACACTGTTTTCAGGGCTTTCCAAATATCTCATTCAATTCTCACAATAACCCTGGAAGGTTGGTGTTTTACAACTGAGGAAACTGAGGCAAATGGGTTAAGTGACTTGTCCATGATGATACAGCCAGTAAATGTCTGAGGCCAGGGGTGGATGAATAAAAGGAGGCACTAGCAGCTAAGGGAATCAGGAGAGGGTCTCATGTAGGAGGGGTCATTTGAACTAAACTTTGAAGAAAATTAAAGATACTAGGAGGTGGGGGTAAGTGGGAGGCATTTCAGCCACGGGTAGGCAACTGGTTCAAAAATATGGAGATAAGAAATGAAATGTCACACAAATAGGCCAATTTGGCTGGCCTACAGAGTACTGAAGGAGTAATTCTCAATACATAAGGCTGGAAGGCAGGCTGTCACCATTCTGTGAAGGAATGCTAGGCTGAGACATTTGTATTTATCCTAGAGGTAAGAGGAAGGTACTGAAGAATCAAGAGGAGTGACACGGTCAGACCTGTGAGTTAGGAAAATTGTTTTGGCAGCTGGATTTGAGAGGAAAGAGCCGGGAAGCAGAAAGACCAACTGGGAGGCTGTTGCAATAACCCAGACAAGAGGTAAGGAGATCTAGATAATGACTATGTTAGCAGAGAAAAGTGACGAATGGTATGGAGGTAAAATTAAGAAAACTTGGCAACTGTCTGAAGATGGAGGGAAAGGAAAGAGTCAAGGATGATCCTGAGGTCTTAGTGGTGCTCTCAGCAGAAGACAGAAAGTTTGGAGGAGGGAAAGTGATCCACTGTATTTGGGACATAATGAGTTTGAGATTTTTCTGATATGTCCAGGTAGACACGTCCAGCAGACAGTTGCTGATGGATAAATGGAGCTCAGGAGAAAGATTACATTTTACAGACGTAGGAATCATCTCCATATAGAGATATGGAACTGATGGGAGTAGCTGAGATCATCAAAAGAGGGCCTGAAATACAGCCTTGGGTACAAATACCTTTTGGGGGAGGGGAGATGAATTGTGACCTAATCAAGGAAATTGAGAAGCAATCAAACAAATAAGAGAATCAGGTGAGATGTGTGTCAATAAGCATTTCTTAAGCACTTATTAAATGCCAGGCACTGTGCTACATGTTGGGGACACAAAGAAAGGCAAAAGACAGACCCTGCCCTCGAGGAGCTTACACTCCAGTGTTGGAGACAACATGTAAACAACTGTGTACAAGTAAGACATAGGCTAAAATGGAGGTAGTCTCAGAGGGAAAACATTAATATTAAGGAGGAATGGGAACGGCTTCTTGTGGAAAGTAGAATTTTAACTGGTATTTGAAGGAAGTCAGGAGGCCGAGATAAGAATAGAGATTACCAGGCATGGGGGATGGCCAGTGAAAATTCAGAGAGTTGGCAGATGGAGTGAGGAGCAGCAAAGAAGCCAATGAATTGCAGAGTAAAGCATAAAAAGATTGTTAAAGTAGAAGGGCCCCCTGGTTATGAAGGCCTTTAAAAGCCAAGCAGAGGATTTCGTATTTGATCCCAGAGGTGATAGTCAGCCACTGGAATTAATTGAATAAGGGGGTGATAAGGTCACTACCTGCATTTTGGAAGATCAATTTGACAGCTGAGTGGTGGATGGACTAGAGATTAGTGTAACCAATGAATGGAAGTTCCTGAGAACCATATTTTGTGAAATATATATGCAATGTATATAGTGAATACAAAATACATGCAAAGTAAATGTAAGATAAGAGTTTTCCAACAGCTCAACTTTGCCTAAGGCATAAGAAGTACTGCTCATTGCTTTTAGGAGAGAATATAAGGTCCTTAATCCAGTATTTAAGGAAACTCCAATTTACCATTCCAGACTCATTTCATATTCCCCTTTATGCATGTTCCTGCCAGCCTGAACTACTGAACTGTTTTCTAACCTCCAACAGACATTCCCCCTGCCTGGAATGCACTGCTTCCTCATCCCCTCTTTTTAGAATCCTCCATGACTCAATTGAGGTGCCACCTTTTTCAGGTAGCCACTTCAGATCTCCTAAGCAAGTCTTCTGCCCCCTCCTCTAATGTTCCTAGAGCACTTTGGAACGGATCTCTCCCTTGCTCCTGTCGTAATCTTTGTGTTGTACTTGTCTATGTAAATGTCATAGTCCTTCCAGTAGAATGTAAACTCTTTGTCTCCCCAGTACCTAATGGAATACCATAGTCTTTGAAGAATTGAAGTTGTCAGTTGTACAAAGGGCAGTGGAGAGGAAAATGGTAGGCATAAGTTGGTAGGCATGAGTTGGTTGAAACATCTTACCAAAGGAGTTGCACAAGGGAGACAGTAAAAATGCCAATAGAGAGTGAAAGTCAAACAATGTTAAATTGGATAGTGTCCATCTAATTTTAAAAATCTAGAAGAAGGCTCCCAGCATATAGAATGGACCTCCCAGTGGAGGATTTATGGGAGGACATGTATGTGAATTTCTTGGGATCACAAAGCATAGATGGATTGCAATCTCAACTGTTGGAAGAAATTTTCACATTGATAAGATCATAAATCCATCAAAATATTGGAATATCATAGGGTCATAGATTTAGAGCTAGACAGACGTTAGAGACCACCTAGTACAATGCCCTCATTTTACAGATAAGGAAACGGAGGACAAGGAGAGGTTAAGTGATTTTCATGAGGTTACATAGCCATTAAGTGGCAGAGCTGATATCGGAACCCAGTGTGTACCCAGCACACACCAGACACTCAAGTTGAATCCAATTGACCATCAGAGTTATAAAACATCATCATTAACTAACAGTGGAACAAAAAAGGACTGTCTTTTGAAGTAGTACACTTCCAATCACTTGAAGGTATTCAACTTGTCAGTGATGCTCATAGAATGAAATGCCTGAATTTTAAGGTTCTTTCCAAAGGTTCTATAATTCCATAACAAAAAGTGCAGGACCTTAATGAATCCTAGGCTTGTTCTAGTGATGGTGTCCTTCCATCCTTCCTCCAGTGTCCAGTATGTGAGGTTGAGAACACAGCAAACAAACACCATCAATCATATCTTAAACTTTACTCAGGCTCCATAGGAGTTAACAGTATACTCTCAAGGAGGGGGAAGGGCAAGGAGGGGGCAGTCTGATGGGTCCACAGAACAGTCACAGTGCAGTCATTTGCTTCCTTTCACCTAAGCCTGCACTAACACTATTCTCTTACAAGTGGTTTAATATTACTAGGGCATCATTAGGTCACTCCAGGTCTCTGGCCTCTGACATAACCATTCAGTAACCTTTCATCTAATCTGGATATAATTTGTACTTACCTAGTTATTCACATGTTGTCTCCCTCCCTCCCCTCCTCATAGGTGAGCTCCTTGAAAACAGGGACTATTTTTACTCTTCTCTATAACCGTAGTGCCTAGTGCTTGATACATAGTAAGTATTTAATAAATGCTTGTTGGCTGATTGATTTTCAGGCTTTTTAGCAGGCATTTTACCCACCTCTCTCTGTCCCCTCTATCCAGTAAGAATATATCCTGGTATTTAATTGAAAAATCCTTTTATCTACAGCCCAAATGCCAATTAACAGGCAACAACTTCATTCCAGATTACCCAGAGGAGCTAGGAAGATGAGGACTGCTCTTTTCTAATTTCGAGGGTGAATGCCACTGTCATGCAAAATTGGCACTAAGCATAGAAATGATTCACGCTGGGGAAACCTGACTGAGTGACTACAAATTCATTCATCTCATGCTAAATCACTTGCAAGAGGGAGGAAAGAAGGACGGATAGCAGTAGGGCTGTCTCCCCTTGGGGTGAGGGGGGCGCTATGTGTTACTGGCTTAGGCGGTATTGAGTGGTGTCCATGGCTTGTTCACTCTCATTGGGGGGATGGGGAGGGAGAATGGAAGTGGGAAGTGAAGGTACGTGTTAAGGAATACAGCCCCCTACTCAAGGCTCAAGCATGCCCAAGCATAGTCTTTCCGGAACTGAAATACCTGAATTGAAAGACTCTTCCTTGTCCTTTTCCAATTTCTACAGCTTCCATGACACCCATCCCAGTGAGTAAAAAAAGGTGGAGGGGGGGAAGGGAGAAGGAAAACCACCTCCAAAGGTTCCAGGCAGATCCCACCAGTTGGGGAAGGGGAGGGGAGAGGGAAAGGGTGCTGTGAGCAAGGTTACTTACTTTTGCCAGGAAGACAGCATTCCTGATGGACCCCACCATTTCTCCTCCCTTGGGGTGTACCTTTGCCACGTGCATCCACATGCGTTCCCAGGTGTGGCTGTCAATCGGGAAGCCGCTCTTGTTGACATGGAACAGCACCCCTCCTTCTTTGTCTTCTTCCTCCGACCCCCCATTGTTGGTGAGGCACACGGATCGTGCGTGAGTGCTCCTGGACCGCGTTCCTTTGCCACCCTTGGGGTGGGGGCAGTGGTGAGCGCTGGATGTGGAGCCAGTCATGATGGGGTGGGAAGAAGGTTGGGGGAGAGTGTGGGGAGAAGTGAGAGAGTGTGCACCCTCGGGATATGTCGGTCACCGGGATCAGTGCCCCATAAATAAGGAAGCTTTCTCCATTGCACTCTTGGCTGCCGCAGGAAGCAAGCAAAGGAGAGACTACTATTAACAGAGAGATGGCAGCTGGACCTCTTCACTTAGGGACTGTGCCTAAAATCAGCAGAGACAGAAAAGACATACCGTCAAGTGGAGAAGGAGGAGAAGGGTAGATTTGTTTTGTCGGGGGGTTGGGGGAGGCGGGGACTGTACCATGCTCGGCGTATTCGCACTGTGTCCAAGCATCCTTGCATTTTCGAAAAGCTGTCAGGCGGGGGGCGGGGGGGATGGGGGGAACAACCTCCCCTGCATTACCGAGAGGGTCCACTCTACGATCTACACAATGCACCGCGCCCCCTTTCCCCGCCCCACATATGTGGACAGACATACAGACCGGGATAAAGACGGAAGGAGATGGGTAAGGACAGGAAAAATAAAGGCAGTTTGCGGAAAGTGAACGAGGGACATCCCAGGAGTCCAAAGTGCATGGTTTCAAACCCCGCTGAGTGCCCAGATGCTGCTAACCGCGAAGCCAAGGCAACAGCACGTGAGCGCCCCGGACCGCAAAGCAGAGGAGCGGTAGCCTCCGACACCCCTTCTTTCTCCCAAGGACCCCTCCCCAGTCCCTGCGGGTGAAGTGAGAAGCCAGTCTCTGGTTGAAGCACCGAATCCCTCCCCGCCCCATCCCCTTACCTCCCAATTCCAATGCAGGAGGCTCGGTGGGACTGACCGAGTGGAGGAAAAACGGAGAGAGCTCTGGCCTCCCTAATCTCTTACCTCTGGGCAGTGGGGGTTCATTGCAGCAAAGCCTCTCCGGGCGGCTGGGGCTGTTGCTGCAACTGCTGCTGCTGCGGCCGTCGCTTTATTCCATGTTCCATTATCGAATGTTATTTTGTGACATATAACCATGTCACTCGGCCGCCACCGATGTTCCGAATGTGCCCATTGGCCCGCGCAACAAAGAGGGGCGGATCCCCGGGTCCACGGCTCTACAACCGGACACTTCGGGGTGCTCTGATTGGCTCAGGGAGATCCCCGGGAGGGAGGGAGAAAAAGAAGGAGAGTCGGGCCTCCACGCGAAATCTGATCGCTTTCGTGCACTAGACATTCATCTCCTAGCTCATGTGGATGGAAGGCGGGATCGTGGGGCTGATGTACTTACAGCCGGCTGAGTTTTCCCCGGGGGCTGCAGTCCATGGGAGGGGAGAAAAGCTACATGCAAGAAAGGATTCCTTGGGCTCGGAAAGGGTGGCGGAGGGATTGGTAATGTTGTTTGCTTTGGAGGAGACCCTGACCCCACTAAGGATGAAGGTTCAGGCAGGTGGTCCTTTAAAAGATATATGTAAACAAATTCATTATTATAATTTTTATATCATATGTTCAAATGCCTAAAACCAGCCAAGAAGTTATGGGGAATGATATCTAAGAGACTACTGCGCATTAAAGTCCTTTAAATCTGAGTTTATTAGGCCCGCTTTCAATGTGGGGGAAATCAGCCAAAAGGATCATCAGTCAGCCTGGTAGGTCCCTCGTTCTTCTAACTGGGTTTGTCTGCATCCGGCCCAAGGGAGACTTCAGAGCCTCTCACGTGAGGTTCTGAACCCTCACTAGAACATAGACCCTTTTAGTTTAATTTTTGTCTTTTTTTTTTTTTTTTTGAGTGCAGCCTACCTTCTGTCCTCACCTAGGTCAAATGGGGCGCGTCCTTCTGTTGCTTGCACAGCCCTCCAGAGTTGGTGCCAAAGGAATAACTGCAAATGTGCCAAGCACATAGTATCTCACACATAATAGATTCTCAACACAAAGGAGCAGAATGAATGAATGGATTCAACTCATATTGAGTGCTTACTGCATAAGAAGCAGAGCGGCTGAGTAGATTGAATGTTGGAGCTGGAGTCAGCAACATCTGACATCCTGCATCTGGTACACACTATTAGCTATGTGACCATGGGCAAGTCACTTAACTCTGAAGCTTCTCTGAGTTGAAGATTGCATTCTGCTTTGGTAGAAGGTGTAAATTACACACCCCTGACGGCATGTGTACAAATCCTTGCAGGTAGGCACAAAGTTTTGACAAGACCTGTACCCCACCCTCATGGACCTTAACAGTTTAACAGGGTATTAAGACACATTGCAGAAAACAAATTTTCAATATTACAAGAAGTGCAGCCTGTCTCCCAAGGGAATGAATGAATGAATGAATGAATGTTAGTAACTTCTCAGGGAGATAGAAATCTTGATCCTTCTCAGGGATACATTTAAAAGGGGACTATTGGATGACTGTTTTGTACATAGTAGACACACCCCAAAATGCTGTTTGAGGTCTTCAAAGCCCAAAGGAGTGAGAATATTCCTGCCAGTATACTCCCCAATTGGAAATATGTCTTTAATAAGAGCAGCTGATGACTAAGTAGAAAGTGCATTGGACTTGAGAGTAAGGAGAACTAGATTCTAGTTCCTGATCCTAACCAAATGAACAACCTTGGACAAGTCATTTTGCTGATGGGTCTCAGTTTTCCCATCTCTAAAATAGGTATATTATTACTTACCAGTCATTGGCTGAGTTCCCCTTAGAGAGGCAGTGTAGTCTGGGGAAGAACAACTGTCGGAAGCAATGGGTTTCAGTCATTGGTTCTGACATTTGTCATTTGTGGGACCTTGGGCAAATCCTTTAACTTTTCTGAACTGCAGTTATCTTGTCTCCTCACCTGTAAAACTGTTGCCCTGGTATTTCCCTTTCCCACCACACAGTGTTGTAGTCAGGATTGAGGGAGCTAATGGATTTCAACCAATTTTTCGACTGCTATGTGCAGAAAACTTCATTAGACACTGGGGAAGATAACAAAATTTAGATAAGGTCCCAGTCCTCAGACTTCCATATTCTTTTGCCCTTAGAGATACAGACTTTCTCATTGCAAACATTCATTTCTCCCTTGCTCAGCAGTTTCTCTCTGCCCTCCCCTGGCAATTTCCCTTCCTCCTTCCATTCTCTCCCTCTCACCCCGTATCAATATATTATCAAGAGATCCTAGGTGTGGAGGGTCCAAGGGCATATGGCTAAAGACCTGAAAGCTATGATCAAAAACTTGGCGCAAGAACCTCTTACAAGAAAATCAAGCCTCTGAATTGCAAGTGATCAAACCCATCTGGGAGTAGTGAAGGATATTTGGCAAGGGCCATCTTTTGGAGCACCTTCCTAATATGGTCTCCTTTTAGCCTAGCTTTAAACAACCGTTATTCTTCTCGTAATTCAGGTCCTATTTTGCCTGAATAAAAGCCCCAGGGCTAGAAAGGACCTGAAGAGACACTTTAGCACCACCAGGTCATTGAGAGAAAAGTATTTGACCTCTTGCTTAACTCAAATGCTCAATCAATCAGTCAATCAATTATTCAACAAACATTTATTATATCTGCTATGTGCCAGAGCTAGGTAGGCCACCCCCCACTCCCCGTTTTTGGCTTTTCTTGGTATCCTCAGTGTTTATCACAGTGCGTAACACTTGATAGGTTCTTAATAAATACTTGTTGACTTAACCTGACAAATGATTCATTTGACAGTGTCTATACTAACCAGAAATCTTTGGAGCTGTGTAGACCTGGTATCTGAGTGTAGAGGCAGGATTTGACTGCTTGGCAAAGGAGGTGGAAAGGGAATGATCAGAAACCAGCTAAGGCTGGAGAATAAGGTAGAAAAGTCACTTTATTCTGAAGAGCCACCTAGATTTATTGTTAATATCTTAAGGTATTTTTATTAAACAATATTCAGGTTAGCCAAGGCTAGAACCCTGCTGTCTTGGACTCTGATAAGAACATCTCACATGTATGAGGTACTTTAAAGTGTAGAAAGCACCTTCCCCTCAACAGCACACTCCTACTTGTGAGGTAGGCAGAGAGACAAATATTACTGTCCGCATTTTGCAGATGATGAAACCGAAGCCCAGAGAGTTCAGTGTCACACAGGATTTGAACCCAGATCTTCCAGCTCCCAATCCAGTGCTTTTTCCACTCCACCACAGTTTTTAACATGACTGATTTGACCACATTTATACCCATTTAGATGAAATTGGGTTGTTCTTTTCAGCTAGAGACTTTTTGTGGCACAATGCTTGTTCTCTGAAATTCAGTTCAATTCAACAAACTAAACACCTATAATGCAAAAAGTCCTGGGTTTGGTACTGGTCGGACAATGATGAAAACCTACAATCCCTATCCTCAAAGATCTTCTAATCTAACAAGGGGTATATGAAATACATACCAATAAACTTGGACAAATGTGCTTCCCTACATTGGTATAGGGAGCTTCCAGGTAAGGAAACTTCTCCAAGTGCAGGTCAACAGCTGCTCTTCAGTTTATAACCTTACAGAATTGTCTACACGGAGTGCTGAGAGGGTAAGGGTCACATGAGTAGTATGTGTCATGTTGTTGTTCAGTTGTGTCTGTTCTTTGTGACCCCTTTTGGGATTTTCTTGGCAAAGATGCTAGAGTGGTTTGCTGTTTCCTTCTCCAGCTTATTTTACAGATGAGGAAACTGAGGCAAATGGGGTGAAATGACTTGCCCAGGGTCACACAGCTAGTAAGTGACTGAGGCCACATTTGAACTCAGGTCTTCCTGCCTCCAGGCCCAGTGCTCTGTCCATTGTGCCATTTAGCTGCCTACACTTAGTAAGTCCTTAATGAATATTTATTGACTGATCAACCTTACATACTTCAGCATTGTCTGTTGAACTTGTTGAGGGCAACTAGATGCTGACTCAGCATCTCACTATCTTGTGTAGTACCTCCTCAACATAACTTAAGTCCCTTACTCCTATTTTTTTTTGACTCAGCATCCATCATCAGCCTCAGCTTGGTCTGGTCATTAACACTCCTGACACAATTCTTGGTGGACTCTCTTGTATTAGTCCTTTCT